AGTGACTAGCCTTAAATAGCCCTTTCAAGGCCAGTAAACAGTGACTGTCAAAGCAACTGCAAAGAACAAGCTCCAAGGTCAAGGGCCCTCATCAAGAACACCCTGAAAACAGCTCCTGACATTTAACTCCAAAAACATACATCTGCCCAGACACATTAAAATTCCTTTGCCAGTTTATACAAATGACTTCCCTCCCAATTATATAGTTGGTCCAATAAAAGATATCACATATTTAAAAAGCATAAACAAAAAACCCAAACACTGTCAGGACTCATAGTAGAAATTATATATTTTATCAGACCAACAAGATTTTTGCAAAAAAAATTCTTTAATTCTTTAATAAAGAATTTTTTTTTTTTGCAAAAACCTTGTTGGTCTAATAAAACATATCATCTCTAAGAATCCCGATTACCTTTTCCTCTAGACCAATACGGCTACAACCTGGATACCCAAACACTGTCATATATTTCTTGAACCATCACAAGTACAACACTGCAACATAAGCATTATGATATCCTTTAACTTCAATCTAGTGGTTGCAAATTCATAACTAAATTTGTCTACAAGTCTTTTAAAAAAATCCAATTTGACTAAAATAATTTGATTTTTCCAAATTAAAAATATTTTTTGTTAAAGAATCACCACTAATCATTTGTCAGAAAAGAAACTCTCTTTTATAAATTCCAGCTGGAGCCAAATTATAATGTTAATGTTTTCAAAGATTCAAAAAATAAAATTCCGTTTTGTACATTGTCACTCAGATTTAACATAGTAATATAATTTACTTCTTCATATTGTATTATATAAACATTCATACATGTGCTAAGTTTTGAACACAGCAACATAGTTCTATTTGTGGGGAGACAGAATACATTTTATAAATAATACCTATACATATGTGTTTACAGGGTTTTTGACTGTAAGCTCTTTAGCAAACAGACAGCACTTCCTCTTGTGTCTCTATGCACTATCTAAAGCATTTTCAAAGAGACTTTCAAAATACTCATCATCTATGAATGAAACACCTACTTTAACTCGCGTAGCTCATAACTTTTAAGTTTCATAATTGATTATCTGTGCCAATATTTTAATAGAGATTGTTTCTAACTGCAGAATTTTAACAGAGCTCTAGATATATAGTATGTAATTGGATTCAAAACATTGCTTTCAGTTAGCACAACCCACAAAAACCACATTAGGTGACTTTTTCAGCTACATAAAATACAAAATGCAAGGGGCATGAATTCAGAACAGGCCCTTAAAGGTATAAAGTTCAGAGTAGAAACATGTACACAGCTGCTCTAAAAATAACTGTGTTCAGATAAGTCAGAGCAATTATTTTTGCAGAATACTGCACACAGTCAACTGCACTAAGCAATTAAACATGACAAAAGGTCAGACGGTGCCTAATAAACCATTTACTGCTACAATTATACTCAAGTTATAGGCAGCCTAATATTTTACAACAATAAGGAAATGATTCAAGAAAAATGTATCTTGTTTTAGTTTATTTTTCAGTCACTACTTTCAGCATTAGTCACAATTTTTTAATACACATTAAACATGCAAAAAAAAAGTAATATCAGGACATGCTATTTAAGAGAATACCTTTATTCAAGAGGAGGCTCAACAGCCTAATTCAACAAAATAGACTCTGTAACTGCACTGCAAAAGCAATAGCAAAACCAGGCATTCTGTCTTCTGAATGAAATCCTAACGCCCATGTTGCAAAGTTATTGTGGCATGAGAGTCATCACAACTTTTTCAAAGTGCCGACTGCCTCACTGACAACCTTCCCTCGATTTGCAATCTCTGTTGAGCTCCATTAGCATGCCCCTCTGCCCCCATAATTTGTAAATACATCCCAACAGCAACTACAAAAATTGTTTATATGGACACTTAATATGCCAAAAAATATTTATTTTCTCATAATGCCATTAATAGGTAACACAAGGAGAGAGAGCCAGTACCAGAGACCGTATTGTCTACCTCTACAGATCACTAGCAGGCGCTCTGCAAATTCTACACCAGATGCTCCCAAGCTTTTTCTTATTGTGTACTCCCTTCCAGATTTACCAGCTGCCTGCATACCCCTACCACCATACATTTAATAGTTTAACCCCTTAAATGCCACTTATTTGAATGAAAATGAAATCCATTACACAGTTTCTCCCCCGTTCTCCCCCTCCCCCAAATTGCATACCCCAGGGGTACATGTACCAATTTGGGAACCCCTGCCCTACACCACAATTTAAAGTGGGTAAGAGAATGAGTGGACTCTTATGGAGTTAACAGAAACATCTTGAAATTGGACAAGCTTGGATTATTAGCAAGCATGCACTGATAAAAATCCAGAGCATACTACTGGTGTAACTATTTAGTAACTCTATTCAGGACGCTAACCTAGATAACCATATGGTTCCTCTAATTTTATTGAACTGCACCATTTCTCACTTCTACTAAACAAGAATAAAGGTCAGATTCTGTAAAGGGGTGGGGGTAGGGCATAAAAGAAAATAACTATGTATGAGAAACAATTTTAAAAAGTCAGAAAAATGGATATGCAGATTTTATTCTGCTCCTAAATGAATGCGATATGCTACATAACACAAGACATGTGAACATTTTCACAATTTTCCTGCCAGCAAGCTAGTTAAGGAAGGTTTCTTTTAACATTTTCTTACTTGAGCACCTAGATGTGTAATCTCAACATTCTCTAAGAACATTTTATAATTGAATTCTCTGGCAATACATAATTTTCTCCATTTTTCAAGGGGAAAAAAAACAAGGGGGAAAGGGTAAAACACTCCAGAAGTAATTTTACATATCAGTTCTGTTGCAATGCATTTATAAAACCTGTCTTATGAACATATGGACCACAAGAGAAAACATCTGACCTACCACCACAGGCCAGCTGCACAGGTGCATCACAGGATGCTTCTTCCTACAAACCTTGCAAAACGCATAGCAGCTCTCACTAAGATCCCTATCTTGCCATTTACATTTCAGAAGCAACCTTTACCAGGAACATTTATGTCTTCACCAGAGTTCTTCCTGGGTGGGTGAAGCAGACCCCTGCCAAGGAAGGCCCTCCTAATTGGCCACAGGATGCAGCCTTCTCATTTCACAGATGAGCTAGCCATTTACTCCTGCATGTACAACACAACTGTACGATTTATGGTCTTAGCAAAAAAGGTGCACTTAACAGGGTGCACACTCACTCATGACTTTCAGTCAAATACATTTTTTTTATCAGAAAACTCAAAAGCCGCCTCTTCTGACAGAGGGCCAGTTTTAAAGTTGAATTTCAGTTTGCAAACCCCAATTACTGACAGGAATGAGCTGCTAAAAAATCTGCAGGAATTTTAGCTTCAGAGAGAGGAAAACACTGACCTCCACTGAACACACTATTATCAAAACCAGCTGAACTGTATTTTTTTCTTTTTTTTGCTCAAGATTTGGGGGGGGGGAAATTGTGTTTTAGGTTCGGACACAGTCTGACCTTTGGAATGAAAACGAGCCAAGTTTAGAAAGTTGAGTGACTTAAAACTGAAGATTAGACTGAAAGCCATTAGGTTGCCCCTGCCCCTCCCTTTAGTTAACATTGCCCCTCCCCTGCAATATGTGAGAGAATTAAATTAGTACATCTTAAACCATGTAAGTAAATAAACTATTTGGACAGGGAATCAACTGCGAGTGTTTTTTCCTAATAAGACAGAAGCTAGTTATCATCATAAGCTAGAGAAGATACAGAGGGAGCTGGCTGTGTCTGAGTTGAAAGTTATTACAGATGCAAGTTCCTGATAAAATATATAATCATTTTACAGATTTCACAGAAAGGATCAACTTTTTCCTATTACAAGGAAGCTTTTTCTGTCCCCCTTTGACAAGATTACAAGGCAAAGTCCAGCCACCTAACTGGCAGTCTGAAGTTCAACCTGAGAAAACAAACATAAAGGGGAATGGAAGAGCCTTGGAAAGCAACCGCAAAAAAGGTCTCATTTAAATTCCTGGAAAGCACTGCTGCTCCAAGCGGATCTATTCAGCTCTCAGAATGGGCAAGTCCTGCTAAACACACACACATGGACACACACACACTTGCACCCCCCCCATACTCACTCACACACTCACTCACATGCTCTCAACCCACCCTCACACACTCACCTCATGCTTACTCACATGCCGACTCATTCACTCACACACACACCATGCTCACTTGAATTCACTTGCATGCTTGTACACACACACATGCTCACTCAGACTCATTTACATGTTTGCTCTTGCACACGCACCCTCTCATTCACTCATGCTCACTCATGAACACACGCACGCTCTGTGTGTACACACTCATTCATTCACACTGACTCATTCACACACATGCTCACTCACACACTCTCCTTCACACACATGCTCACTCACACACTCTCCTTCACTCGCACGTGCATGCTCACTCATTCACACACCCGCGCACACATGCACACACCCATGCTCACTTAGCCATGCATGCCCACTCACTTTCATTCGTTTGTGCTCACTTGCACATGCTCTCACACATGCTCCCACTCATTCGCTCACCTGAACCCATGCTCACTTTCACTCACATGCGCTCTCACATGCACACACTGGGCTCACTCGCACACTCAGGCACTCGCAGGCTGTTAGGACACAAAGCGCCCGAGCAAAGGATCCCAGAACCCCAAGGCTGGGCAGAGGGTGGTTCATTCCGGCCAAGGGCGCAGACCCCAGACCCCCCCAGTGCAATCTCAGGCGCGCGCAGTCTACACGGCGGCAGCAATCGCAACCTCTCCACTCTCGCACCCGGGGGGCAGCTCCCAAACTCGGCGCCCTGCAAAGCCCCGCGGAGGGGAGGGGAGGGGCAGGGGGCTGCTGCTACCCCGGGGCCCCAGCTCCATCCCCCCGCGGGTGTGAGCCCCTTGAAACCCCCGCAAGCCTTTGCCATTGTGGCCGCGCTCCCTGCGGGGCAGGGGCAGGGCTGGTACCTCCAGGCGAGAGGGGAGGGCGCTTCCGCACCGCCCTAGAGAGCCG